TTCGGGGCCTTTTGTGGTTCCATATGAATTTTAGGATTGCTTGTTCTAGTTTTGAGAAGAATGCTGGTGCAATTTTGATTGGGATTGCATTGAATGTGTAGATAGCTTTGGGTAGTATTGACATTTTGACAATATTTATTCTTCCAATCCATGAGCAGGGAATGTCTTTCCATTTCTTTAAATCTTCTTCAATTACCTTCATAAGCTTTCTATAGTTTTCAGCATACAGATCCTTTACATCTTTGGTTAGATTTATTCTAGGTATTTTATGCTTCTTGGTGCACACCTCACTCACTTCTGACCTATAAGGTTTCATCTGAGAAATCCACTGATATCTTGTGTATGGGGGGTGCTTTTGTATACAATGAGTTTCTTTTATTGTTTTCAAAGGTTTCTTGCCTTAGATTTTTGAGTTTTATTACCATGTGTCTCAGTGAAATCCTCTTTGGGTTGAATCTCTTTGGGGACCTATGTACTTCATGTACCTGAATGTCCATCTCTCTACCCAGGTTTGGAAAGTTTTCAGCCATTATTCCTTTAAATAAGCTGTCTTTCCCCTTCTCTGTGTCTCTGTGTCTCTGTCTCTGTCTCTGTCTCTCTCTGTCTCAGTCTCTCTGTCTCTCTGTCTCCCCTCCCTTTCTCCCCATTCTTCTTCTGAGCTGTTCATAATACATATATTGTTTCACCTCTTGGTGTCCTCTAATTCACATAGGCATTCTTCACTTTTCCATTCTCTTTCTCTTTTGTTTTCTGACTGAATAATTTCAAAAGACCTGTCTTTGAGTTCACAGATTCTTTCCCTTGCTTGATCAAGTCTGATATTGATGCTCTCTATTGCATTTTTTTAATTTCATACATTGAATTCTTAAGTTACAAATTTTGGGGTTTTTTTAATGATTTCCATCTCTTGTTGAACCTCTCATTTTGTTCATATATTGTTTTCCTGATTGCATTAAGTTTTCTATCTGTATTCTCTTGTAGTTCATTGAGCTTCCTTAAACAATTATTATGAATTCTTTGTCAGACAATTCTCCATTTCTTTGGAGTGGGTTACTGGAAAATTATTGTGTTCCTTTGCTGGAACACATTTTATTTTATCTTGTGTGTGTGTGTGTGTGTGTGTGTGTGTGTGTGTGTGTGTTCCTTGAAGTCTTGCACTGTTGTCTTTGCATTGAAGAAGCTGTCACCTCCTCCAGTCTTTACTAACTGTCTTGGGAAAGAAATACCTTCACCAGTCTGTCCAGTTAAAGATTTTGAGGCTTTCTCAGAACTTTTCCTTTCTTGAACACACTTCACACTTCGTCATGAAGTGCACATGAGCCAGTTAGGTGAACCACAGGTGAGGCATACTCAGTGTCTTGAGGGTGGGCTTCCTGATGCAGTCTGTGAAGCATTTATTAGACTGAATGGCAAGAAGTTAATAGCATCCTCTTAATTAGTTCTGATCCCCAGTTGCTGTACCTCCAACCTCTCCCAAACCCTCAGAAGCATCCTGCACAGCTGGGGAAGTTGGTGCCCATTCATACACTGTTGTCTTTCCCCATGAGAGAAATGTAAGCCAAAGGAGTCTCTCTTGGCACTAAGCAATGCCAGCTTGGGAGAGGGGTAATGCAGGAAAGTGAAAATGTTTATCTTACCCTCTTCAATGCACCCAATCTCTGATTTTTTTTTTTTTGATCCAAAAGAATGCTGGAACTTCCTCACTGGACTTCTGGACTCCCACAAAAGTACTTTCATCCATGAGTGAGTGTCAAACCAATGTCCTGTGGAGGGATGACAGTAAGAAATTCCCATTCTGCCATCTTGCTGACATCACTCTTCTCAGGATTTGTTTTAGATTTCATGATTCTCAAAACCTCTTCTTCCCAGAGATGCCTTCTGCATATCTTTAGGGGAGATGGGATCAAAATGTCATTAATTCTAGGGGACCCTAAGCTCTCCTTTACTTTTTAGGATGTAAAAGACTTCTACTAATTTTATAGATTTGGTGACCTCTCTTCCTGTCAGTTCAAGGTAGATTTGATAATGAACATTTTCAAATGTTTCTTGAAAGCTTCCTCACTCTCATCTTTCTTGAGTTTATACTCTTGTTCCTGCTTTTCTTTTTCTCTCAGGATAATGTAGCAGTTAAAACCTAGTGCTTTGGGATTGACTTGCGTGGACTCCAACACCTGCTAACTAGATTTGTGAGCTTACTTCTTAGATGGGAAGATATCTGCTCAGGTGGATTAAAAATTAAGTAGGATAATGCTTGCAAAATGCTTAGCAGAGTGACTGACACATACTAAGAGCTTTTAATTGGTTATTTATTGTTCTTTTTCATGCAGTTATAGGCATTTATTGTTCACAATGCTTATCCACCCCTCCTCCCCACCACCCATCTGTTATAGGTTTTAGCTATAACCTGCAACAAAGACAAATAGTGTAGCAGAAGCCTATTCAGCAAGTAAGTTAACTTCTTGGAACAACCTAAAACTAGAAATGATGGGTTTCTTCACAGAACCCAGGATTGGCCCAAACCTGATTTGGAGCATAAATAGCTCTGGCTATGGGAATCTCAGGGCTAAGTGAATACAGCTAAAAGCCAAATAATTTCTTCATCTATGGAATGACAAAAATGTATATATCCTTTGATTTTGGCTCATGATGTCTTCTTTTTCCTTCTTCCTAAACATGCACCTCTGCCAAACTTTGTCTACTCTTGCTCCACACTCTTCCCTCTGGAGCCAATCTACATACAGGGCTTACTTCCAGGTCTTTGTTTTCTGAAACTGTTGCTTCAGCCCCCACCTCTTTCCAGACCTCCAGTTCCAAATTTCCAGCTGTGGGATGCTTCCACTTCAATGTCCCACCAGCAGCACCTCAGAACTGACAAGTAGAAAACAACTCATTATCTGCCCACGCACACCAGCTTCTTTTTCCATTTGTGACACTCTCATATTCTTTGTCACTGGGTTTTAAAAACCTCAGCCATCGCTGTATCCACTATACCCATCAGTCCATTCTATAGCAAATACCTATTTTTTTTCTTTGAATATCATTTGCCCCTTGCTTTCCATGTTCTACCAGCCCTGTCTGTCTGGCCTTTCTCACCTCCAGCTTAGACCTCCTGTACCAGCCCCTTAACTCATTCCCTGGCCTGCAGCCAATCATTTGTCCAACCCAGCTTATATACTGCCACCAGGCTGTATACCTTTGACCCAGGCACAGTTCTGTATCAAATCATTCATCTTCCTCATTGCCTATGAAGAAAACAAAGTGCACTGTCTCTGGTTCTACCATGAGCCTCCTCAATTCCTTTTCTTAACTCTCTCCCTCTAATTTTCCACAGACTCAGCCAAACAAACATCTCTTCAATCTCCAAACATGTTTGTCCTTGTTGCCTTGTGCCTTTACAACTTTGTCTCTTGAATCCAACTGCATCCCCAACGCTTATTTATTCTTCAAGGTCTAGCTCAGCTTCTTTCCCTTTCACAAAGTCTTCTCCCACCTCCCAGTCAGAAATAATCCCTTAGAAAGTCTCCTTTTTCTGAATTCTCAGAGCTCTTTGACCTCCTTTAGATGCTTTTAAGAATTTAATTCAACAAACACATATTTAACACAAATGAAATGAAAGAATTGTCCTTGGGGTCTGGGGGAAGGGATTGGAGAAAAGAACTGTTCCTCTTCTCTCAGTATCTCAGTCATCAGACCTATGAGTCAACAGCTCCAAGATATAACAAAGCTATTATAGAGTTGTGAAGAATGTGTTATTAGAGTAAGGAATTACTCAGCATCCCTTTCTCCCCCACACTCCCAGTGCATTTTATAACAGGGTTTCCAAACACCATTGCATGAAGCCTAGGTTTCTGTGGGAGCTTTCCAGGTCCTATGGATTGTTTTGGAAGTAGAAGTAGGTTTTAGATATTTTTGTCTTCTTGATATTTTGTAAGATTTTGAGAGATGCCTCCCTTTATTATGCTTTATATATTGTGAAAGATTATTTTTAAATGCAATTCCTTTCTCTCCCTTCATTCAAATTATACCTACAAATACCCAGAAAAATGCTCATTTCCTCCCAAATACAAAGACTGGGCTAGAGAAGGAACTCAATGGGACTGTCACCATAGAAGGAAAATGCATTAGATTTGTCATATTGTGGTTTAGGTAATAAGCAATGTAAAATGAATAACAAAATGCTATTACAACTCCTCAAAACCTCTGTTCTCAACCTGAAAATATCAGTGTTTCATTTTTATTGTCTTTTCTCAGATGCTCCTCTCTTCTCCTCCACCCCAGCTTTACCTGACTGTCTTGCCAAATTAACTACTGTTCTCTGTTTCCTCATAAGACATGCCACAATGCCCACAAAACTGGGCGACCAGGAAGCTACTCACTGGTACACCCCCATATACTTCTTCTTTTTTTATTTTTAGTGTGAATTATTGCATTGAAATTTATATACATTTACATGAATAAAACATACACATAAAGCTTAATGAATAATAAGAAAGTAAACTCCTGTGTAACCCTCCTTGAGGGCTCATTGCTAGTACCCAGAAGCCCCCGTTGGGCCTCTCCCAAATGCATACACACCCAACCCTCACCCAACCAAAATATTAGTATGTCTTGGCTGCTATAACAAAACACTGTACACTGAGTGGCTTAAACAACAGATATTTATTTCTCATAGCTCTGGAAGCTGAAAGTCTGAGATTAAGGCACTGGCACAGTTGGGTTCTGGTGAGAACTCCTTTCCTGGCTTGCAGATGGCCATCTTCTTACTGTGTGTCCTCATACAGCATAGATGGGAAGAGGAAGCAAACTCTCTGGTGTCTCTTCTTACAAACTCATCATGAGGGCTCTGCCCCCACAACCTCACCTAAATCTAATTACCTCCCAAAGGCCCTACCACCTAATACCATAATACTGGAAGTTAGAGCTTCAACATGAATTTTGGGGGGGAGGGGGATACAAACATTCAACCCAAAACACCCCCTGAGGTAGCCGCCTATGTATACATTCCCAAATGATATACAGAGTTCCATTTTACCTGCTTTTCAACCTGAAAAAAAAAAATGATCATAATGTATGCTTTGTCTTGCTTCTGTTGCTCAATATTATGTTCTGAAAATTCACTCCTCTTGTTTTGTGTCTATACATTTGCCCATTTTACTTTTTATATAGGATTCCATTATTTGACCATATTCCAATTTTTGCATCTATTCTACAGGTGGTGAGTATTTGCATTTTTTCCTAATGCAGCTGAGGTGAACAATGCTGCCATGAGCAGCCTTGTCTATTATACCCTGCTGCACAGTTGCCTAAATTTCTCTGGGTACCTAAGAGGAGAATTGCTGGACCATTTCAATCTCACTAGATAATGCAAGCTGCTTTCCCAAGAGGTATTAGCAGTATGCAACTTTCGCTAGCATTCCTGCTGCTCCAGATTTTTTGTTGGCAGTCAATATTTTCAGAATTTTTGGGTTTTGCCTATCTCATATATAATATCTCATTATGGTTTTAGTTTGCATTTCCCTGATTACTAATGAAATTGGGCCTTTTCATGTTTATCGTCCATTTGGATTTCTTCTTTGGTTTTCTGCTTGTCCAGTAGTTAAGCCCATTTTACCATTGGGTTATTTATTTTTCTTATTGACTTGGTTTAGTTCTTTTTATATTTGACATGCTAGTCCTTCGTCAGCTTATGTGTCACACATATCTTCTCCCATTTTATGGTTTTTTATTATAATAAAATATACATAACATAAAATTAATTATGTTTAAATGTACAGTTCAGTGGCCTTAAGTACATTCACATTGTTGTGCAACCATCACCATCATCCATCTCCAGAAATTTTTAATAATCCTAAATTGAAATTCTGTACTCATTAAACAATAAATGCCCATTTCCTTCTCTCTCAGCTTCTGGTAACCACCCTTCTACTGTCTGTCTCTATGAATTTGCCTATTCTAAGTACCTCATGTAAGTATAATCATACAGTATTTGTCCTTTTGTGTCTGGCTTATTTCACTTAGTATAATGTTCTCAAGGTTGTAGAATATGTCAGAATTTCCTTCCTTTTTCAGGCTGAATAATATCCCCATTGTATGTATATATCACATTTTGTCTCCATTCATCCTTCAATGGACACTTGGGTTGTTTCCACCTTTTGGCTGTTGTGAATAACACTGCTATGCACGTTGGAATGTAATTGTGTGTCTCTGCTTTCAGTTATTTAAGGTAAATACCCAGAAGTGGAATTTCTGGATCCTATGGTAATTCTATGTTTAATTTTTTGAGGCATGCCATACTAACCAGTATTTGCTTTTAATGTGAAGATTCTGTAATTTCAGACAATTTTTAAACCCCACCCCCCTGGCTCCAGTCATATATGCCATACTTTTTCTTGAGTTCCTTAGAAACCAGTCTTGGATCATAGAACAAACTGATGTCAAGATAGAAGGGGTCCTAGAATTCATCTATGCCAATCTTCTCAGCTTATAAAAATGAACAGGCAGCCCAGAGAGGTGATGCAACTTGCTTACAGCCACCCAGTCTGCTGGGAAGAGAATCAGGCAGAGCTTGGGCCACAGTCTTTACTGTGCCCGCTGGATCACAGAAAGTATACGTGAAGAAGCAGTTTCCCAAATCCTTCTAATCACGAGGGGGCACATGGCAACCAAAGAAGGAAGCGCTTTGGATCAAGCTTGCCCTCACCTAGCCTGGTTGCAAGGTTCAAGTCTTGTCCCATTGCACAAGTCAGTTTTCCCAAGGCCTGAGTGCTGGATCTGGCAGATGTTCCACTGGTCCCATCAGCTACCACACCTAGGGGCCACCCTAGGTTGTCTGCTGCCAGTCAGCCAGTACACTCCAAAATGCCAGCCCCAGTGCATAGCTTATTTCCTTGTTTTTTAAGGGTGTCTCCTGCCCCACCTGTTTTTCTGTTATTATCCTTTGTCAGTAGCCCATTTTCCTACTGAGTATGAAACATGAGCATAGGAGCTTAGAGAAGGTTTCTGTTTCTTCATCACCTGCCTCGGTGGTGGGCTAAGCTGGCACCTAACAAAATGTAAAGTAAATGAAGTTGTCTTGAATTTTCCATTTAGCTTTCTCTCTTCCCTACTTATTCTCTCTCCAGATTCCTTAGAGTCCAAGGCCATACCCAGGATATCAAGTGTTTCTCACTGTAGCACCTGACCTCAATGGGACCTCTGTGGAAAGCACCTTTTTTGCTACCTGTCTCCCTCACTGTCAGTGAGCTGCCATACTGAAAAGCAGACCCATGCATTTGTTTATTTCAACAACAGTAATGAAACTATCTTCCACATTGTCAAATGGGCTTTGCTGTCCAAAAATCAATTTATCCTTCATTACCTCCAATAATCCCAACAACAGTCCTGTAGGAAGTATGTGAGGAAAAGACAAAAATCTTCATTTCATTGATGAGAGCAGTGATCCTCAAGAAGATAAGTGATTTGCCTAAGAGCACACAACTAAGAGTCCAAACCTCAGAGTACTTTCATGCTTTATTATGGAGCTCTACAGTGGATGATATCAGATGAAATTAAATGGATATTCTCATAAGGTTTGTATAATAAGGTTGCAATAAGGTTAATTAATAAACATTTCAAAACAGGGTTTTTGGAGGTGTAATGGCTTGACAAAGGAGTACCTTTTAAGCTGGGAACATCAGGGACTTTGTGAAGCCCTGTGGGACCCAATCGAAGGTCCTTTTATATGGGCTTTCAAGCCCCACCACGATGGCAGCTGCCTAAGACTCAGGAAGCCAGAGCCTTGCCACAGGCTCTGCTATTCTAGACCCCAAAATCCCTCATGTATATCAAATTCCCCTCTCCCTATAATAGGGACCACCTCCTGCGCAGCTGGCTGACTCCCCACCAAGCCCCATCTGTCTTCCCTGGCTACAGAAGCCATGAGGGGAAGGCCAAAAGAGGCAGGCTAATATTCTTCTTATAATACAAGAGAAGTCTATCAATTGATACCCATTTTTATGTTGCCATGCAAAATTAAAGAGCCGTTCTACGCTTTATATCCACACAGCACTTTTACAGT